ATTTCCCGCCGCCAAGAACCGGCCAACCGAGTTCGCGACGTCGCCCTGGTGCTGTAGAGCCGCCCTGCTCGTGCTTTCATGGACCGGAGCACGAGATCGAGAGCTGCCCGTGCGCTATCCACGCGCCTCCCCCGGCGGCGTTCGCGTCCTCGGCACAACGCACAGGCGGCTTGGCCCCGCTCCCCGCACGCCCCGTCCCCGTACCCCCAGCAGCCACAGCCTGACCCTGCGCCCCAGCGGCTAGGCCCCAGCACTGCATCTCCGGTGGCCGCGCCATGGCCGGACGGTCGACCCCGCGCTGCGCGCAACCGAGCCTCGGCCAGACAGGGGCAAAATCACAATTAGCCATAAAAACAAGGGGCAAAATCGCATGGGCATTCATGTCTTTTATACAAAGTTTAACACCGTTAGGGGTGGATGACGGTGCAGGGGCAAACTGGTGCTTCGTGAATGGCACAGTAGGAGTAAATTCACAAAGTCAAAAAAATAGAGGCAAAATCACAATTTCGATACAAAACAAGGGGACAAGCGCAAGAGGAAAAAAAAGCGCTAAAGAAACCTTCTGCCACTGCTTCCATCTATCCAAGTCGCAACTAATGTGAAAACCAATTTAAGAAAAGTGAAAAACACAAAGTGGACTAATGGGCCTAGCTAGCAAGCTAGGGGAGCAAGCCGGTGTGTGTGTGTGGACCGTGTAGTAGTAGTACCGTCGCGTTTGCACTCGTGACACACCCATCTCGCGGTCTAATCATGCAGTTTAACTTAGATGGTTAATCAGGTCGATCGGATCGGGTGACCTATGGATGGGTTTAATTGCCAGTAGGGCCACAGTCACGTGGATATGGGTTAACGTGGCCATGCGTCCCACGTTAATCCTTGTGCATCAAGTATTGCCATTTTTCTAATTAATCTCACAAACAATGCAAGGTCGAATTTTAATCTTGCACACATGCATGCATGGCTGCAAATTAAACACTCACAAGTCACAATTTAGGGCCGGCCCTAGAGTAGAGACTAGCAGCGTGGAGCCAGCCCTCTCACATGGACACTGTTCATCTGAACCAGTCAATAATACTTCTCTCTCACATAAATGAATCAATAACAATATAAACCAGCCAACCGAATAAGCGGTAGATAGGTAGCGGGAGCAAGAGAGTACGTGTGGACCGCGCGGCGGTCTCGGTTGATGTACGTCATCGTACGTTCTTCAACAAGGACGACTAGTCTACGTTTGGGGCGAGACGAGACGGCGATAATGGAGTGCATGCATGGTCGCCATTAATATTTCGCGTTGATTGACTCCTATTAATTTCCATCCATCGACCATGCAATATTTTAGTTGTGTTTCATACGACTCATACTACTAGCTAGCTAGGGTTAGTTGTGTTTCATATACAGCAATATTTTATTAGTTCTAATCCCATTCAAACAAGGGAACGAATTAATAGCTCAACAAATGTGCTCGTATGTGTAACTTGTTTGGATCCAGCCAACTAATGAAACCGGCTAATAGCTTGTATCAGTGGGGCTATCAGCTAACCTATTAGCAGAGCTTCCTTTGGATCATCATGAGACAATAGTCCGTAATACCTGGGCACCGTTGGGATCCATAGAGCTAATAGTTAGCTACTAATAACTAATTCATTGGTACCAAATAGTTCTAGCTAATAGTTTAGCTATTTGTTAGCTGAATGTCCAACTAAAATAACTATTTCAATAGTTAGGCTAAACTAGTTAATAGCAGCTGCTATTAGCAATGAACTATTAGCTAGCTAACTATTAGCCGCTAATGGATCCAAATAGGACCTTAGCTAGTAGAGCAAGCTAATAATTTTTTATTAGCTAATAAATAGTTATTTTTGAACTATTAGCGCTGTGGTGTTTGGATCCACTAGAGCTATTTTAGTAGCTAACTATTAGGTCATGGAATCCAAACGGGACCCTATCTAGCCCTAATTAGTTCTTTGGCACCTCACTATTTGGATCAATTAGCTGCTAATATAGTTAGCTAGCTAATAGCTCATAGTTAATATTAACTAGCTAACTACTAGCTAGTATTATTAATTGGTTTGGTCCAACTAGTGAGATACAATAGTTGTTAGTTCGGTATTAGCTAATAACAACAAATAGCTATGCTATTAGCTAGTTGGAGCAGTTTAGATCCAAAGGAGGTAATTATTAGTAACTAACTATTAGCACCATAGATCCAAACAGGGCCCTAGCTAATTTGGGTTAAAAGTAGCAACCAGCAACAAAGACGATCAAAACACACTCCTGCTAATGGCGCCAAAAACAACACACGTTTAGAGCAGAACGACAATTCCAAGGGCAAATGGACTTTTAGCATGATTCACAGATCCAAACAGGGCCCTAGCTAATTTGGGTTAAGTAGCAACAAGCAACAAAGACGATCAAAACACACTCCTGCTAATGGCTCCAAAAACAACACACGTTTAGAGCAGAACGACAATTCCAAGGGCAAATGGACTTTTAGCATGATTCACCTACTATCTATTAGCTATTGAATCCAAACAACAACACATAGCTAATTTGAGCTAGGTAACAATTAATTAACTCTACGCATCATTTGCCAGCCGATCCAAAACAGCCCTACGTACTCCTACTAGCAGCATATAGCAACATGGGCACAGCTTATGGAAAGCAACGGCGCTATGCATGGCTACCAACAACTTGGTAACTTTGCTATGTTAAATTGTTAATTACTTATGGGTCTCCTTGGAAGAATACCCAAGTATGTGTGGCTATTTAGACCAAAGACAATTGGTCCCGCTTTATATATAAAGCAAAAGGGAGTTGGCTGGGGATACCGGCTTCTTACAGACGCACAAGTTCAGAGTGCCCATGGCACGACCCTCTAAACCAGAGTTCTTAACAGACCCTCTAGAACGGATGAAAGGAAGAGACAAAGATTACAAATCACAAGCTCGCTGAAAAAGAACGACAGTAACATGACGGAACTGGGGCCAGTAGGCTGTGCTACACCACTATCCTTTGACGTTTTTTGCGCCAAATGTCTGGATAGCCTTTCCGCCATCTTCGAAACCCATCTCTTTTCCTTCCCCTTGAGTAGAATGCTCCACTTCTGTAGGGAAATGAGAGAACGATGCACTACTACATCATCAGGACACGAAATGATCTTGTTATTGAAAACATAGTCATTACGAATAAGCCATAAACTCCAACAAATGCAAGCCAATAGAAAGATCATCTTATAATACCTAAGCATATGTGTGGCTATCATGCATGCATATGTGTGGCATGTGCATGGCCTGATAACAGTAGCACATAAAAGACCCTCTCATTTGTTGTTGCTCTCCTATTCCCCACACTTATTTATTTATTTATTTATTTATTTATGATGTTGAGCATGGACCATATGCATGCAGCAGCAATTATACTAGACTACTGCTGTTCGATCGATCAGTCTGATTCAGTCTATGCGTGTACAAGCATGGTCGCCGTCGTCAGTGTGTCTTGTTGTGAAATGGTTGTAATAAGGACCAAGAATATAGTCTCGGCAGGTTAATGATCCTTGTCAATGCAACACTAATACTCCATCCGTTCCGAATTATAAGCCGCTTTGACTTTTCTGGTTCATCCATTTTACTATGTATATAGACATATTATTTATCTAGATGTATAATAAAATAGATGTACCAAAAACATCAAAACGATTTATAATTTGGAACGGAATGAGTGTGACTTTTGAACACCCGATTTCCGTCGTTTTCCCTGCGACAGTGACAGGGAGCATACGTTTGCAGATATGACCAAAGGACAGTAAAAAAAAAAAGATATGACCAAAGTGTTGGATGGAGTTTGGTGCGGAATTTCTTCGTCAGACCTGGAAAAAGATCTTCTTCAGTGCAGACACAAACATATGGGAATGCATAGATGATATGGCCGTGTGTGGATGTGTGTGTGTTTAATTAAGCTCGACAGAATTGACAGCACAACAAACACTTCAATTGCATTTGTTGCGTTGCGTGCCGATTTATTTGGTGTAACAAACTCCATGTTGTTATTTCATTTCAATTCATTAGCAGGTGTATGGTCTACTAGTATCCTGCGAGGCTGACACGTTTGTCACGAATGCACGCGCCCCTGGTCGTTCCCCGGCCGGCTTTGTTAGTATTATTATGGGTACATTATTCTTTGGATATAATGATCGGATCCGTCCATTGCATTGGTTGGTATGATTATGTGTGTGTGATACTATAACCACTTCTGCCTAAAATAAAAGCTACAAAACATGCAGTTACGTACGTGATTATTACTTTGCCTAAAATAAAATAAAAGCTACAAAACATGCAGTTAGGTTGGAAACACTAGTTTGTTGGACGCAAAGAGCTAGCGGCTTCCCAACAGTTTGGACTTCATCATTTAACTGAATCTGGCTTCTTTTCATGCATTTCTATTTACTTGATGACTCCATTACAATTACAGTACAAAATTGCTATGGGCTCGGGCTGTATTGAACTCACCGTTTTCCTCCTTTGAACGGCAGGCAGGGCACCAAGGGAAGTTCGGCCTAGCCCATGAAATTTGCATGGCCCAGTTCCATCCAATTCATGCCATCGTGCCGACGGCTGTATATGCCCACAGGCACACAGCCCATGAAATAAAATAAAAGCTAAAAAACATGCAGTTAGGTTGCAAACACTAGTTTGTTGGTCGCAAAGAGCTAGCAGCTTACCAACAGTTCGACTTAATTCATCAGACGTTGTCACTGAAGAGCTTCAACTTGCCAGCATCGAGCGCGAGCTTCGGCACGGACGCCACGGCGGCGCTGATGACGCCGACGCCGGTGAAGACGACCATGATGGCGACGTACGTTGGTCAGGCACACACGGGCGAGCGCCTGGGCAGCGCGAGCGTCACGTTGTACATGTCTACATGACGACGGAGAGGACGAAGTCGAGCGGGATGAATATTCCCACGGCGCCCACCACGCCGACGACGTCGCCGAACAAGGGCAGCTATAGCGCCGCGGCCACGAGCGCGCACGCCGCGACGTACGCCGTGCGCAGCGCGACCCGGGGCACCAGGTTCGTGTCCGCCGAGCTCTGCTCCATGATCTCGTACGCCACCTGCGAGTACACCAGCGCGATGGCGAGGAGCCGGAGGAGGACGAGGACGACAGCGAAGCCCAGCAGCCACTTGGGCGCCAGGGACAGGCCCGCGTCCGGCATCAGGCTCTGCAGTGTAAGCATGGCATGTAATCCTTGAGTTCTTGCTTATTCTTTTTTGTTACAGATAGCGTTGATCTTAGCATGGAAATTCTCCTCCCGAGCGCGTCCTTGTATGGCATACGTACGTGTACATGCACGTATGGTATGGTGGACGGCAAGATTAGCTTGCTTGTTCCTCACGTATGGCGGTATGGGTCTTTGCTTTCTTATTGTAGCGTCGAGATGTATATAAATAGGAGCCTAATGCATTGAGAAAAGCTGTAGCGGTTTGCACAGCACCAAAAAATACCTGTGTCTTGTTCTCTGTTCTAGCGAGTTCTTGAGAGTTCGTGGTGATCGGTTCATCCTCGTCGGAGTTCCGATCATCGCCGGAGAGAGTTTCCGGCTGACATGCATCACGTTGGACGTCAGTGCAGCGGCGTCGGCGGATCATTAGCGAATAGCGAGGTTCGGTTCGGGTCGACCCAGGGACCAGGGTCGATGGCCTCGTGACCCTAGACTATCCTTTTTGGTTTGGGGGTCGATCCGCGCTCCGATCCTTTGCAAATTTTTGGGGGTGGAGCGCGCGCGTTCGCAGCCGGTTCGACCCGCACCCCTTGCAGGCTTAGCACTAATAATTGTTACGTGATTATAAGTACTTTTCCTAAAACAAAAGCTACAAACATGCAGTTACGCAAAGAGCTAGCGGTTCCCAACAGTTGGACTTAATTTTACTGTAAATTTGGCTTCTTTTCATGCATATTTGTTTACTTGACTCCATTTCAGTACATGCGGCTACGAGGTACTAGTATAGTATGTTCTTGGCGTTGCCGTTTCACAACGTATACAACTGCATGCTGAGGAATTACATCAGTAGTACGTTCTTTAATTGAAGCACAGTTCTGAACCAAGTTAGCGAGAGCATCGATGCTGAGTGCTGTGTGTGTGAGAGAGAGAGAGAGAGAGAGTGGTACTAGCAAATTGCTATGGGCTCGGGCTGTGTTTAACTCATCGTTTCCTTTGAACAGCTGGGAAGTTCGGCCCAGGCCATAAAATTTGTATGGCCCATCTCCACCCAGTTCATGTCATCGTGCTGCCGGCTGTATGTCCGCTTCGGCACTTCTCCTTCTCATCTTTTTCTTTTGTTTGCTAGGACTCTGAAGTCAGACGGCACCGGCGGCGGCGGTCTTCCGGGCGAGCCTGACGACGAGTACCCCCATGGCCCCATCGGCCCATCCTTGTTGTTCCGTCGACGCTGATCCCACCGCCCTCGTTTTGGCATCCCGCGGCCCCCTGCTTCCGCCGACCACGCCTAGGACCCCAAGACGCAATGACACGGCAAGTCGGGAAGGTACATGCCCTCTTGCCCATCTCTCCTCCAGCCCTCCACCCCTCCTCCATTTCGTGATAGAATCTGTGCATGACAGTTCGAATTAGCTTCAGTCAAGGCTTTGGAATTGTTTTTTTGTGATATTTTTTCCCGGCTCAACGCACTGTACCTCGTATTCTTCACGTATTGGTAGGAATGTTTGGTTTGAAGCTGTGAGTCCAATCCTTAAAATTAGTGGAATGACTTTATTTCACTACTACACAAAAACATAACCGAGACGTTTGGAAAAAAGCCGATTGCCAGCATCGGTTATTCATAGCAGGGCAGCCGGCCCAGCAATCGCCTCGGTTAATGCCTATTAACTGAGCCGGTTGTTCTAACGCAACCGTCTCCTAAAATCTATTAACCGAGGCAAATGCCTCCATTGTCGGATGCGGACCTCCTAAATGGCCCACCTCGAGAAAAAAAGGCCTGGAGCCCAACCAACCCATTAGTTTAGCCACATATATAAGGAGTACTTAAGTTTTCCAGTCGCGCTTCTACCTCCCCCTCCTCGCAGTCGCGCAGCCGAGCAGCGCGATCCTCCCTCCCGAGTCACGAGCCCGACGGCGCCCTCCACTCTCTCTGCCTCGCACTCTCCCTCCCGAGCCCCTCTCCCTCCCGAGCACAGCGGCCTACCTTTCTCCCTCCGAGCCCGATGGTGCCCTTCTCCCCCACAGCCGGTGGCGGCGCAGGGATGCCGGATCCTGTCGGTGGCGGTGCAGGGAGGCCAGATCTGGCTGGTGGCGGCGCAGGGAGGCGGATGTGCGCCACCGGCGGCGGATCTAGGTCGGGGTCACGTGCCCGCGCGGCAGGAGCCCGACGGCTCTGGCCGTGAGCGGCTCCAGCGCGCGGCGACGGCTGTCCGGAGCAGCACTTGCGGTGGCGGCGCACGTGGATCCGACGAGCGACGGCGCTTGGAAGGGCTTGGCGGGCCTCGTTGATGGGCTCAGCAGGCTCCATGGACGGGCTCACTAGATTCTTTTTTGTTTTTTTATTGATTAACCGAGGCGGGCAACCAACCGCCTTGGGAGTTCGTGTATTAATCGTGACCTTTTGTCCGAGGCGGTTGCGTTGCCCGCCTCGGTTAATCCAAAACGCCCGCCTCCAGAAAGATTTGTGCAGTAGTGTTGTCGGATACCATAAAAAGGGGTACCCTAAGCAAGAACCGAAAAAATTGCTTAGACCTGGTAAATATCGAAGCCAAGAGACAACCACGAGGCCTCGGCCGATTCTCCGATTCACCCGAGGCCCACGCCGCAAGGCCTCGAACGAGGTACCAACTCTCCGCCTCGCCCGAGGCCCCACCCCGCAAGGCCTCGGACGAGGTACCGATTCTCCGCATCGCCCGAGGCCCCGCCCGAAAGGCCTCGGACGAGGTACCGATTCTCCGCCTAGCTCGAGGCCGGCTCGGCAGCTACCCCATCACCGCCGCCTCGACCAGGACGTCACGTCCAACTAATGCAACCAACCACTCCCACGACGTCAGCTGAACGACGGCTCAACACAGCGGACTGACCGACGAGATGGGAGTCGCATCAACGCCATGCCGTCCGGGACGGGACGGGGCAGGGGTTACCGGCCGCTGTGCTTGGTACTGTGCCCACGACTGACACCCATGCGGCACTGTGCTGCCTAACCCCCCCTGCTCCGAGGACAGTGCGGCGTGGAGAGTCATGTCCAAGTCCCTGTAGCCTCGAAATCAGCATAAAAGACCAACTGCTCCCTCCGAGCCTCGGCTACCCGCCTCCACACCCCTGTAGCCTCGGGACTCGTGCTCGCCGAGCCCCCCACAATGGTTCAGCCTCTGCACCGACGGGGCCTTGGCTCTCTACGCTGTCGACATACAACGACCGGCATGTCGTCTACAGTCTGCGTCATGCCCTACGTCAAGCCATCACAGGAGCCCCCACGTGGCACAGGATCAGACGTGATCGGCGGGTCGCTCCAGTGCACAGAGGACAAGACCGCTCCGTCGACCATGCCGCCACAGTGACAAGCACAGGGCTCGGACATACCGCCTCCACCCATAAAACGCCACGTAGCGAACGCATGTATCGCCCCCATCCTCCCCTTCAACTATAAAAGGGAGTGACCGGGGCCATTTCTAGACACGCACTCATGGAGACATCGCTCAGATAGACACACACGCGCAAGCAACGAGCAACACTCTGTAATACGCACGCTCCCTCACTGCAAGAGATCAACATCTCAAGCAACCCACGCCGCTCCATGCAGAGACCTGGGACTAACTCCCTCTCTCGCCCTGCTTGTAAACCCCTACTACAAGCACCTCGGTGCAAGGAATACAAGATCGCTCTCTCAGACTGGACGTAGGGCACCTATTGCCTGAACCAGTATAAACCTTGTGTCTCTTTGCATAACCATCCCGGATTAGGGGCATGCAGTACACTTTCACTAGTTGGTTGAGGATCCGCCGGTCCAAAACATCAACAGTTGGCGCGCCAGGTAGGGGTTATACTACGTGTTAGCTTAATCATCCCAACAAGTTTCGGATGGTAGACCCCGTGTGACCATTGTGTCTCGGCACGGTGATCTGGTTCGGGAGCCTAGAGTTCATGTCTCAGGATGTGAGTACGATATGGCACTCCTCACACCCAGAGCCCCACCGACCGACGACGACATCACGTACCAGCAGCCCAGGCGCAGACGGCGCCCGAGCCGCCGCTCGCGTCACGCTCGCCAGGTACGATGTGGGAGGGACCTCCCCGACACCCTACGAGCTCAGGGCGATGCACCGCGCTCCGCCAGTATCCCACACCCGGCTGTTGGTATAGAGTCCCTGGTTGGGGACCTGTCCAGCTTAAGCCTGGGCAAGGGAAAGACGCCGGTGGAGCGCAGCAACGCCCCATCATCAAGCTCTGCCCCGCCACCTCCTGAGGAATCGACTCTGGCGGAGCAGAGCCTGGCGATGGCACCATCCCCGTACCCCTTTGGGTTGAGCAATGTCGCCGCCTACGCTTCCACCTACGCTTCCGCTCACGCGGAGCCCTCAGGACGCCACCAACGTTTCGCCCTCAACCTCTTCGCCACAACCTCTACCCACACCCACGCTGACTCCTCGGAGGAGGACGAGGCGTGGGTCGGAGCAGACTTCTCTGGGCTTCGTGACCCTGAAGCCATGCATCGCTTCATAGCCGCGAGCGACTACTGCTTCGGCTACTCCGACTTCGATGATGAAGACACTTATGATCCCACTCATGAGTGCTTCTACGTCGAGCTTGGGATGCCAAGATCGGGCGATGAGGACGAAGGGGCAGGCGATCGCTCCCCACCCCGCGAGGGGGTAGGCGACGCCACACCTCCGTGCTTCGAACCCCCGGCAGCGCGGAATGAGAACCCCACCCACGAGGAACTTCGACGCCTTGACTTGGAGCAGCTCCGTGAGCTTCAGGCCAATGTCGAACAAGACCGACTCCTTCTGCAGCAGCTCCAAGACACTCTCGAGCGAGAGCAGCGGGGTCGCGGTGATGGCGGAGCAGCCCGGCGGAGGGCTCGTGACATCAACCACCGCATCAACAACGATGAAGGGGGCGAGCAACCCCCTATGTTCAATCACGCTAGCCAGAACGTCACGGCAGTAGCGATGCTACTCCAGACAATGCCCGAGCCCTCTACCTCGGAGGGGCGA